AAAAAAAAAAAAAAACTGCATCTCCAATTTTTCTTTTATGTTTCTTATTGCAGGAAGAAATAAAAAGGGAAATTTCACTCCCAATTGATTGTGTGCCGCTAGGGGTGAGCATGGGTCGGTACAGTTCGGAGATTGACAAATCTCCAGAACCAATCCGATATTCGGAGAGTACTAAAATTTAATTTCCGGAACCGTACCAAAAATTCGTTCGGTTCAGTTCAGTTCGGAGATTATTATTTTTCAGTTCGGTTCGATTTGGTATTCGGGCCTATCGAAACGGTTTGGTTCGGTTTGGTTCGGTTCGGATATTTGGAGATTTTTATGTATTTTTAATTTTTTTTAATGACAACCTAATTATATTTTATTTTTTTTGTTTTTTTTTTTAAATACAACATTCGTCATACTAAATATTTAATTTTTAAATAAATTTTAGTGAACTGTATATTTGTGCAACTAACATTAAAATATAAAATTCAAACAAAATATAATAAGTTCTTTTATAAAAATAATATTTCTTTAACCTTCCTACCATGTCAGTTATAAGATAGAATAAGACTAAGTATTCCACAAGTTTATGTAAAGTTTGAATATTTTTTTTTTTAAAATATTTCTTCAACATTTCATTCAATTTTAATTTTTTTTTTTAAACATGAAAAAAATTTAATTGTAGATCAAGTATTACTAAGCATGAAATTAAGTGGAACTTAATTGTTATTACTATATTTTATTTGCATTTTAAAAATTCCCAAATTATATAGGATCAAAATTGATATAAAATACATTAATAACACACATCTATTTTTATAATTCGGTTCATAATTTCGGTTATTCGGTTCGGTACGGTATGTGACGGTTCAGCTCGGTTCTCGGTACGGATATTTGTGAAATCTCAAGAACCGTACCAATTATTTTTTCGGTTCGCTTCGGTTTGGAGAAAGTCAAACGGTCAACGGTTATTTTTCGATTCGGAGTGATTTCGGTTCGGTTTTCAGAACGGTTCGAAATTCTCCGAGTTTCATGCTCAATCCTATGTGTCGCGTCATACCCCATTAATAGCATTATTTAAAAGAAATTAAGTGGAAAAAAAAAAGGTATAGACAAAAATAAAAACGACGTATTTTCGGAATACATTTTAAAATTATATTTGTAAATTAAAAAAAAAAATCCGTTAAAAAGTCGAATTGAAAAAAATAATAAATATAAAACGTATTATCAATTTTAGGGTTATAAAAAACGTTTTTTTCGAAATACGCTTTTTATTTCTGAGTTTTTAATTTTTTTTAAAAGAAAATCTATAAAACCATATTTCCAGAATGCGTTTTCTATAAAACGTATTTCAGAAATACGTTTTAATGTAAAAAAATGGGGAAAACGTGAAAACATGCGTTTTAATAAAAAATGTATTTATATAAAACGTATTTTCTGAATACGTTTTACAAGTAAAACGTATTCAGAGAATACGTTATATAATTAAATATAAAAAAAAAAATCTCTTCTTCTTCATTTCATTTTATGAGCAACAGAGAGCGACAACAGAGAAAGAGCGCAGAGAAGAAGCGAAAAAAACCTTCGGAAAAAAAGAAACTCGATCTCATCCTCGCCCCGGCGTGAACCGACAACAGCGACACGAGCCTCATTTCCGGTTAACTCATTCGTACAAAGGATATTGGCTTATCTCAACAATTTATATTATTTGGAGTTATTTGGATACTGAGAAAATTTATAATATGTTTGAATGTGGTGGTGTTTGAAAATTGAGAATTGGTAATTGATTATCAATTATGTGTGTATGCTGAATTGGAGATTGGAATTTTGTCGTAAATTGTCAATTGTGTATTGTTGGTTGTTGTTGGGCTTAGGGTTTTTCAAAATTAGGGTTAAACTTAGGGCTTTTAATTTATCTGAAATATAAATGAATTCTATGTTATTGTTTGATTATGGGTATTAGGGTTTTGGAGGATTATTTGATTGGAAATATTTTTTTTTGGTTTTTGGTTGGAGTAAAAAAATGAGTTTTAAATTTTAGAATGGTAAAAGAATAATTGAATTTTTTTGGGTGTTGGTTTAGACATTATGTGTTGTTGTTATGGGGAAAAATTTAAAGTGTTTTTTTGCAACAAGTATAAATGGCGTATTGCTGTCCATATTTTGTTAATTTGTTTTGGAATTTTGTGAAGAATATATTATGGGATTTTTTGAGTTATAAAGATCATCCGGATGGTTCATTTGTTATTGGGGGAAGATATCATATGAACAATTGATAGAGATGACAGATTAAAATTGTCGGTTTCGAGAAGGTTGGAGAATTGAGGAGATTACTTTAATGTTTAGTGTTTGTCCTATTTCTGTTGTGTTTTTAGTTATTATTTTATTATTCTTTTACCCTCATTTTGAGTCATTTTATAAGTTTTATGATAGTTTTATCATTTATTGGGTGATTTGTAATAGTCAAATAATGTTTATGTTTCTGTATATTTTTTTCTATATTTTTTGCTTTATTTTCAATAAAGATGCATAGGTCGAAAACCTCGGAAGAATAGGATTTTGGAAATATCTTGGGTATGATCATATCATTGGAAAGAGGGGTTCGTTAGCAACACACAGGAAAAAATGGAACTTAATTCCGAGTCCAAACGAGCCCGAACGAGCGAAAACCGTAACAAAGTTGCCGACACAGTAGCGGCGCTACTAGGCAGATTTCTGCAGCTGTCTTTTTTTTTATAATGCATGATGATGGAGTGTTATTCTGGTGATGATTAAGCCTTACCTATAGCTGATTTCTAGCTATATTTTACTTCAAATTCTCAGCTATAAATAGAGGTGATCCATGCATGTAAATATCATCAAGTTCATAATTCAATAAGAGTGAAAAAAATCTTTTAAAAATCCTTTCTTTTTGTTTTTAAGTTTTTTGGGAAGTTCTTCATTTATGAGAATTTCTTCTTATGCATGATCTTGTAAGTGATATTTCTATATCTTGTTGAAGTTATAGTGATATATTGACATCAAGTTTTCAATAGCAATCGTAAGTTATCGTTACTTTATTGTAAGTACGATGATAGCTTGGGTTATTATTGTTATTTTTGTCGATAAAATCATGACGAACTAAACCTATTCCGTTAGGGATAGGGAAATGATTGTTTCGATTCGATGATGATGTCATGTTATTTATTGTTTATATCGTTTCGAGTTATACTTATTTTTATGATTTGGTTGATTAAACACCTTCTAAATCTAATTAATTAATTTTAAAACTGAGAGGGGAGAAGTAAATTGATCTCGGCTCGAAACGAGTAAGTTTGTTCGTAACTGTATTGCTTATTTGTTATTTGATGCGAAAATATATTAATTTATGTTTATATTCTTGTTACGAAAAGTTATTGAATATAAACCTCTAAATTAGTGTGTTTATCGAATCACTTAACCGAGCAATAAATAATTTGGACTTATCATTAGAACTGAAAACAATTATTTCCCAATTCCCTAACACTTTTATCATCTTTATATTCTTATTGTCTTTAAGATTTTTATAATCATTAAATTTATTTACTACTTTAATTATAAATTTATATTTATTAGTTAAATTAATAAAATTAGTAGATAGTAAAATTCCACACTAAAATTGATTAGAATGTTTAGCACATAATTTTATAATTTTTTGTAATCGAATAAACGCACAATTTAATCCGGCTAAACTTTCCTTGAGATACGACTCGGGGAACGAATATTTGATTCGGTGCTCGGAAAATTAAAAAAATAAAATTTGCTACAACAAATTTGGCGCCGTTTCTGGGGAAAGTTTTAGGACTTGACTTATGCGGCTATTCGATTAGTTATTTTTATTTTTTTATCTCGATTTTTTTTTTGTGATTTCTTGTTTTTGTGTTTCGCTTAAATTCTCTTGTTTTTCTTTGTGAATTCTTATCTTGTTAATTCTCTCGATTATTTCTATTCTCCTATTAATTGGTAATTTTCAGGATTAGTTAACAATTATTTACTCTTGTTTATCTGGTGCTCGTAACGGTTTGCTTGTCTTCGTGTATGCGTACTAGGAGTGGACGAGTACTCATCCCGAGTGACAAATCCATTAACGAGTATTTACGAGAGTTGTTTGTCAACCTTTCTCTTGACTCGATAAGCTCCAACAATCAAGGTGAAATGCCCCAAAATAACGAAGAGGAAGTAAACAATCCCCCGCGGTGTCTTCTTCGAGACATGGCCCAACCGATGATTGGGCCGGTGACTTCTTGCATCCGTTTGGGACTTGCGGCTCGAAAATACGAGCTAAAGACAATCCACTACAACCAGCTCC